TAGGTGGGGGCCAGGGAGTCGCCTAGGGCAGTGGGCCACGGATATTTGATGAATTATGGCGAATTTGTATTACTTATTTGATAGGCATCGAGTTACTATAATATGACTTCATGTAGGCCTAGGCTATGCTTTCTAATGTTGAAATCAACTTCCAAAACCAAAACATTTTGAATGAAACAAGAAACAAAGAGTATGCAATGTAACCATCTAATTAAGTGAAATTCTGTATTTTGGAGATTTTGCATGAAATCTGTCAACTACCGCTTTCATGGTCGAGGTTGCTTCACCTATAACGATGTATTCCAACCATCATGAGGCTATCTATATGAGCATTTTTCATAACAGAACGCAAATTATTTTTAATTAGTCTCATTGAATTATTATTATTAATAATAATATTATTATTATTGTTATTGTTATGTGGGGGGATTACTGTCTCTTATACACATCTAGATGTGTATAAGAGACAGGGGTTATAGAATCCATGCAGTATATGTTTACGCTAAAGCCCTAGCATCCGGATCAGCAGAACTGTTAGCCCTAACCGTTAGCATGTGTGTGAGAACGCCCAATTGGTTTACACTAACGGTTAGTGAGCACTATCGGTTAGCAAGTTGAGCGTGTTTCTATCATTAGCCAATCACGTGTATGCATTTTCAATGGCCAGTTATCCCACCGTCTCTCGATACTTTGATTGGAAATTTTCTTGTATGAACATATGGGTGAGCGCGCATGTTATTTTTCAGGATCCTGCTAACCGTTAGCTGGTGTGTGTGAACATAGCCTCAATGCTTTTAGCCCTCTGGACTACATTAGTCCGAGGACAAAATGGTATAGAACGCATGCTATTGTAGTGACATGCCAAAGAATCTATGCTACATACAGTAAATAAAAGAAAAGCCTTCACCTACTCTTCAATTTCTTGGCTTTTCATGGCTTAATAATAAAAAATACACTTTAAATGAGTGTTTTTGATACCGTATATATTATAGATTATAAATATGACCGTTGACATTTCAGTTTGATTTTAAATAATTTTAAAAAGGTTTCAACATTTGATGTGTGGCACTTTCATGAGTTTTAAATTACTATTGAATCTACAAGGAGGCAGAAAATCAATGATGATGATAACGATGATGGTGTTGATTAATATTTGCTTCTAGGTCGGATGAATGTGGTACGTGTAATGTCAACAATATTTCACACTGTGTAGTTTATATATATCCAATAATAATTGCTTATTCACAATGTATAAACAAGATCATAAAAGTCATGTCTTAAATGTCACCCACGCTAACGAATTTGTTATCACATTAATTACTAAGACCGAAAAATGCAGCACAGGCTGAATTTGCTTGATTATACAAAAATAGATCAATTTACACAGAATTCAATTGGTAGTTAAGAAATAATATATAAGTAAATTGTCATGAGGTTTGTTGTGAATGTGTATATATGTTAAAGGCGTCGTGCAGTGGTAGCAAACACATATTTAAAAATGTGTTGCAAGATTCATGATCCAAACGTTGTTATAAAGCATATCCACCATGACTTGACTGACAGTATTAGATATATAAATGACGAGAAATGTGTTTTTCTATTGTACTTAATAAATTTGGCTTCTTTTTTACATACTAAAGAATGAAAATCAATTGATTATTATGAAGTAGGTAATTGGAAAATTTGTGAACCACATCTACAAGTAGCTGATAACATCAAACAAAGGAAGAATAGAACAATTGACCACGCATTATGATAGAGTCTTTTGAAATACTGAATAGAAGAAAAGACGTTAAGGGGAAAGAAGAATATTAACAATGATGAGCGATAATAAAGAATCCTGAAACATGCTCTTGCGTTGGCGCTACCTTGGCTGGGATTTGGGATTGTATTGTGTATTGGGAAGAAAAAAAGACTCACATAATGTCATAAAATTTAAGAGTTTTTTTTTTCTCCTATATAGTTTAATGTAAAGTGCATTGAGGCACTGTGCAATAAGTGATATACAAACACAAAAACCTATTATGCTAAATCACTAGATAAAAAGAGATGCAGAGGAGCAAAAGTAAACTGTCTTGATGGTGGTGTATCTGGCTAAAAACTACTGATAATGATTTAAGAAGATTCAGTAATAAAAAATGTAGTAAACAAAAAAAATATTACAATGGCTACGGTCACACTAGAATTTTCGTAATGTGACCGCATCTGCACCAACTCGCGCCTGGCGTGACATCGATCTCAATCTACCTATCTCGATCCCGGCTCAGCACCCATATTGACCCTGGATTGACCCTGGCGTGATCGAGATTGACATTTCCTCGTCGGCTGTCGACCAATCGCAGTCCATGACGCCTTTGCGTTTAGAAGTTCTTGAATAAAAAACCCGCGAGTTCTTCATGTGTGTTCAATCAAGACGCAATCATTACTTTTCATAAAAGTTAATTCAAATTTTAATTAATAATAATGCGATTGATTTGGAGCGACCAGGAAACTGCTGACCTGGTAGATTTGTGGTGCCAACCCGAGCTGAGAGCCCGGATAGAAAATAAAAAACCAAACAACAAAACGGGAATTTTTGGCGTGCTTGCTGACAGATTAGCCAGTCTCAGACATGAGAAGAGAATGACGGCCCAAATTCAAACAAAAGTGAAGGCATTGCGAGCCCAATACAAGCTGATAAAAGATCAGTTGAAGAAGAGTGGTTTGGGCACGTCTGGTGTAAAATCTTTGATTGCGATCCACCCATCACACGCGCGTATATCGAATCCTGTGAAACAGAGTTGGCCAAACTCTCTATCTACGGCTCTGCTGTTTCGACTTTCATAACTTGGAGGTCAATCCAACTAGTGTGACCGACCCAGAATTTCGAGCCTGGCTTGAAATCCCACCCGCGGTGAGTCAAGCCAGGCTTGAGACGCTAGTGTGACCGTAGCCAATAGCAATTTTGAGATCCTTTGTCCTTGTTTATCAACTATTTTTTTATTCTGTTTAACTTGGTCTTACAGTTAGTATGTTTGTTTTTGATATGTATCTTTGAAATGTATGTTTAATCCTCAGAATATTGAAATAAAAATAACACAACTAATACTACTATTGCAACTTTTTATATTGACAAAAGGCGTAATGCACTTTCCGGCAGTAGAAAGAGAGGACAAACAATTGATACCATATTTATTCTAATAAGAATTATTTATAAAACATTGCTGTTAACATACAAGGCAATGAACAATCTCGCTCCAGAATACATCACCGAACTCCTGACTCCTTACACGCTCTCTCCGATCCGCTTCTAAGAATCTTCTAAAAGTTCCGAAAAGCACTACCATCACATACGGCTCACGGGCATTCACCTCTGCAGCGCCTACCTTATGGAATGCACTTCCAGATGAAATCAGGAACGCCGACTCACTTCAGCTTTTTAAAACACAACTCAAAACTCACCTCTTCACTGAAAGTTTTGCTGAATTCCTTTAACACACATTTTACCACTTTTTTGTTTTTTTTCCCCTTCTTTTAACTGAATAGCTAGACACCGCCATCACTTGAGCACCTGTGAGTCATGCATCGGCGGGCTTTACGCCTTAAATTGCCGATAAACGGTGCGGTGTTGGTTTGGTTCGTTTAGGCGTTTTCTTTTTTCTTTGTTAGTCTAGGTTCATGGTTTTTTTTATTCTCTTGTCCGTTTCCTTCCGTTGTTGTGAAGCGCCTCGAGGTTGGTCTAACGGGAGGCGCTATACAAATCGCAAATTATTATTATTATTATTATTATAATATTTAGTTTCTAAAGAATCTTTTCATGCTATAATTGGCAAGTTATGCATCTGCTGTTGTATGTGAATAGAAAAAATAACTAAAATATAATTATTAGAGAGCAATGACTTACAGGCCAGTAAATCAGAAACAGAAATTTTTAAATCAACTACTATGAATTTCCTTGCAAAGCTCGTTATACTTGAAATCCTGCGGCAATTAACTTGCTACTGTAGTCCTATGCGACATGAACAGACGTAAACGTATTAACGTACAAATTGATTAGTATCTTGTTATTACAGCTATTTGAGATAGATTATTTAGATCTATTTAGCCTTGAGTGTGAGGCATTGAACAACCTTAGAGGCTGTAAAGCAAAATGTTGAGTGTTATTTAAAATATGAATAAATGTGCAGAACATGTTGAATTATTCAATATTCCATCAGCTTCAATGATAAATCAGGCGATTCCCATAAGAAATCCGAGTTAGAATTTTCAATGTAAGCCTACCATATTTGACCTCAATATTTTACTATTCTGAAATTCATAACATTAAAAAAAAAATTAACCCTGTTCTGTAAAACTTTCACTGCTTTTGTTCCAGAACTTTGTTTCCCCTTCTCTTCCCAACACCTCATCTTCAATCATTATTTTTCTTCTAGCATTTTGCTTTGCATTTTCCCCCCCTCCTTTAATTTCACTACACTAACCACCCGCAGCCACCCTTGCCTTGTACTGTACCCTTTTACTATATAGCATCAATCAATTGCGTGTGCTTCTCAAATCTATGGGACCACAAATTCAAACCTTTGACCAATATTGACAGTTTCCAGAAATACCTGGAAACATCCCAGGAAGATTTTTTACAAACTAAAATATTAATCGCTTATAGAGACGTACATTCATACAATACATTGAGGAAAGCATGTCCCAATGGGAAAATCCAAGTACAGTATGTGTAATTTATTATTATTATAATATTTAGTTTCTAAAGAATCTTTTCATGCTATAATTGGCAAGTTATGCATCTGCTGTTGTATGTGAATAGAAAAAATAACTAAAATATAATTATTAGAGAGCAATGACTTACAGGCCAGCAAATCAGAATTTGAAATTTTTCATGTTGTAGCCAACCATTTAAAAAACAGAAGTTTTTAAATCAACTACTATGAATTTCCTTGCAAAGCTCGTTATACTTGAAATCCTGCGGCAATTAACTTGCTACTGTAGTCCTATGCGACATGAACAGACGTAAACGTATTAACGTACAAATTGATTAGTATCTTGTTATTACAGCTATTTGAGATAGATTATTTAGATCTATTTAGCCTTGAGTGTGAGGCATTGAACAACCTTAGAGGCTGTAAAGCAAAATGTTGAGTGTTATTTAAAATATGAATAAATGTGCAGAACATGTTGAATTATTCAATATTCCATCAGCTTCAATGATAAATCAGGCGATTCCCATAAGAAATCCGAGTTAGAATTTTCAATGTAAGCCTACCATATTTGACCTCAATATTTTACTATTCTGAAATTCATAACATTAAAAAAAAAATTAACCCTGTTCTGTAAAACTTTCACTGCTTTTGTTCCAGAACTTTGTTTCCCCTTCTCTTCCCAACACCTCATCTTCAATCATTATTTTTCTTCTAGCATTTTGCTTTGCATTTTCCCCCCCTCCTTTAATTTCACTACACTAACCACCCGCAGCCACCCTTGCCTTGTACTGTACCCTTTTACTATATAGCATCAATCAATTGCGTGTGCTTCTCAAATCTATGGGACCACAAATTCAAACCTTTGACCAATATTGACAGTTTCCAGAAATACCTGGAAACATCCCAGGAAGATTTTTTACAAACTAAAATATTAATCGCTTATAGAAACGTACATTCATACAATACATTGAGGAAAGCATGTCCCAATGGGAAAATCCAAGTACAGTATGTGTAATGTAATTTAGTTAGATTTATATATGAAACAATCTCAAAACACTCGGGCTGTGGACTAGCTTGTACAATAGCTTGCTTCTCCCCTAAGGGTCTCTTCCTGTCTAAGCTACCTGGTAAACCAGTACAGTCTACTGTTGTCTGTCCACAAGAGGGGCTGAATGGACCAGTACCTGTGGCAACTCCCTAATCGTCCCAAGGATGCACTGAAAGTGCACATAAACCAAATTGTGCATACTGGGCCTAAAGTTTATAATCTTTATCCGACAAGACTTGTTCCACAACCAGAACCATAGGTGAGCATGCCGTCCAACCCGCGCCGATATTATGGCTGTACGCTGCGAATGCCTTGCCGCTTGGCCACCCAACTAACCTGGCATCATAATATAGTTCTGTTCATGAAAGATCCTGAGTTCGAACCACAATGAGGACAATGTTTTCTCAAAAAAAAAATATACAATTTTTATCTCTCATCCGTATCTTTTTATCTTTCTCTTACTTTCTCCTTCTTTCCATCTCTAATTTAGCAACATGAATTTATACTCACGGAACATAGTAAAAAATTGTGAGGGGATGAGACCCCATTTTCCCCATGCTGATTTGATATGTTTCTTCTTCATGTATGTTGGCAGGTTAAATGCTGGCTCCGTGCCAAACGAATCGATCACCCGGAACATGCAACTAAAAATACAAAATGAACAATACAAAACTATCAATTTTTTATCTACTTTACTTGATTGTCTACATAGAAAAACTGTGAGTGCAGTAGAGTTGTGTTATTAATATCACTTGCATAATGAAACAAAAACATAAAAAAATAACAGGTTGCAAATATATCAGTTGGGACATGAAAACTACTCCTTTGCAGCATTTTTAACGATGTTAGCAGAAATATAAGCAAACATTGAAAACCAACTGCACCATGAGCAAACAAACTTGAATACCGTAATTAAATATTAAATACTAGGATTGTTCATGAATAATATTGAAATTTTTAAACCACATCAGGGATTTGAATTTTATCAGAGGGGGTGGATTTTTTTTTTTTTTTTTTTGTGGTACGAAAATACTCTAGGATATACTAGAATATACTTTCGTGAGCCGTTGGTCCCGTGTGCATGATGGCCTGTTTGCACGTTACAGAACGTGCTGCACTATTCGAAAAAGAGTATCACTGTGTGGATTTTTATTTTTATTTTATTTTTTTATAGGATACTCATGAGTGTAAAAATTCCCCCATGACTGATAAATATTCCCCACTCCTGGGGGCTTTCCGAATATGCAGTGCTGTCACTGTTCTGCTTACAGCAAATTCATGTAATTTGTAATATTAAAGCAGAAGTTAATTCGACATGAATCTGTATTGAATCTTGACTGTGTAATTCCAACCTACGCAAACACTGTACATCAAAAAACTACTGTAGCTAATGATTAATTATATTTACAGACTGGTATATACTCATTTTGATAGACTATATATTAGAAATAATCAATATAAGTTATAATATAAAACCTATTGAATACACCTAATGGAAAATCATGACTGTATGACCGCTATCTTCCCTAAATTAATTATGTGTGCGAGACGTGAATTATTGAAAATTACTGCAATTATCAACTAATTTAAGGTTCTACAGGTACACAAAAAATATAGAAACAGAATTACTAATGCATTTGTTAATTTGCATGGTAATTAATTAAAACGATACTCATAGTAAAAAATATCTCTAAATTAGCTATAAATTAATTTCATGTGGGTAACTAATTAAAATTATATTCGTAGTAATTATATCTTTAAATCAGCTAAAAAATTAATTGTTCCAACCTGACACGTATCATTTCAAGTTGCTAGATTATTTGAAAATTCGCCGATTTATTTGGCCACAAATTTTATTTAATATTTAACATCAACATGTGGCCCATAATTGATTTATAACTACTGTTTTCATTATCTTTTTATACAGGTAGATAAGCTCATTTCCAAATCCAAGTTGGAGTTCAAATGGTTTGTACATTAATTGCTTTGCTATAGGAAAACTGAGAAAAACCAGACATTATAAGCTATTAGTGAATTGCATCATTAACAATGTGGGTGATAGCTCTGTGTCGATGTCTGATCTTAGATTTAATTGGACAAATCAGAATCAATGCGCACCCATTAAGAGGCTAGATGAAACTAAATAAGGTGACAGTGATTAATATGACCATAGCCTACTGGGGGCAATTTAAGAATATCTCGCAACCAAAGTTCAGGTTGTTCTTAATGCAATGTATTAAATCTTTTCATATTCCAACATCAATATATCATACACCATACCATTTGTTTCAGCTTGGACATAGCGTATACATTAAACGTAAATCTTCCTCCCTTTGATTTGACATACATTTTAATGTTTACTATTGTTTAATGCTTTTTCAGAATATGAAATGAAATATTAATAAAATCGGTGAAGGATTATTGCCAATATGTTATAAAGAGGCATGTGGCGCAGTGGTATGGCTCTTGGTTTTTTATCCAGAGGCAGAGGTTGGTGTCTGAGGTTGGTTAATAGTTTGTGTCTTTTGGAAAGGCACTTTATCTGAACTGCTTCTCTCCAAAAAGGAGTTAAATTGATACCTGGCAGGGTTGTATGCTACAATGCTGAACATGGCTGCTACAACAGATGAACCTAGTGTGTTTTTAAAGCATGTTGAGTAAAGATCATGGGTAATGATGTACTGCGCACATATTAATTATCATTTGTGCAAGAGATGTATTAATTATTATCAAACTAGAATTACTCCGTTTACACTACACATCCCTGAGATACAATTTTTCTCCGGTCTTTCCTCTTTGAATTTTTTTTCTGAAAATTTATAAGTATGTATTGAATCTGATAAAAAAAAATATTGCCGACTTTAAATTCTCCGAGGTTGGCAGTCTCAGCAATTTTTTACTACCTAGGCCTATTATAGTATTTACGATTTTTCAAAACGCTTGAATTTATATCGTAATCTACAATATCATGATTTTGTTAATTTATTTCTATAAATCAATGTATTGTTGGTGATAGAATAGTTGCACTTGTATTATTTGAAGTGTAGTATAATAGTTTTGGATAAGAAAATCGCTGAAGAAATGTTGTTTTAGTGTTATCTTTAGCATGGGAAATATCACTTTCATATAAGCTACAACCGCATCACCACAGGCTCTCTGCTTCAAAACTGCCATTCATGTCCATGCGCATGCCCAGAACCAGAACAATCTATATCTGGGATTTTCCACACCTGTACACTACACTAAGAAGTGAAGTCACGATGCGATCGTGTTTGTGTTTGAACGGCGGTAGGATTAGGCCTACAATATGTTTAATTTGGTTCTTTTTAGATAACAAACAACATTTTAAATATGATAATACTGCACAATGAAGACAAACAATAGATTTAGATAATCATTACGATCTATGCAGCCCACATGGCTTCAATTGGGCGATGTTTTAGGCCTTGTCTTGGCTGGCTAGCGTCACTCCTACCTTGCTTACGAAATGACTAGGTCTAGCTAGGCAAAAAATACAAGACGATTGTACACACATCCTATGTATGCCTATTTAAAATAATTATTGTACAAACAAATCTGTTTTACGAACTATGAAATTTCCTTGGTTTGACGATATACGTCAAAGTTGGTGTCTGCTATAGCCCGTTTAAGTCAAAGTTTTGATTTTTAAGCAGTTTTGAAGCAAAGAAATTAGGCCTAGGTCGGCAAAAAATTGCCGTCCTGTGGCAATTCTGGCTTGGCAATATGGTGAGCAATTGCCATTTGCCGACGTGAAATTCATGGGCTGAATGGTGGTTCATTATAAGAAATTTAAAGGTAATCCAAGAAGCGAGTATGATACAGGCACAGATGTTGTCATTAGAATATCGTGTAATGAGATAACTTTTAAGGAAAAAAAATAAAACATCCTTAATGTTACCACACAATCAATAGTACTGCTTGTAAATTTGGTAGATTACAAACCAAAAGATCAAGACAAATAGGTTTAGGAAATTTATACATCCCAAAGTATCTGTATAAAAGGCAGTTTTAACAGTAAGCTTGCCTGATTTAATCCAAGCAATTTATAATCACCATAACTGTTTCCGCAATCCCATCCAATCTTGTACAACCCACCGTTGCGTTCATTATAACCAATCTATTAAATCCTGCCATTTGATTGGTTGATTAAATGTCACAATTCAACAAAAAAGTAAGATTTGTCATTAATATTGTGTCCAGTTTTTGTCTGTGCCAGAAAGGTAAGAAAATGTAGGTAAAATTTACCATGCAAGATGCATTATATACAATGATCAATGTATGTTTTCTATTCGTACAATGAGACTTTTTTCATTCAGTGAAAAATGAAATCTTTCATTTTAACTTGGCTACACTCTGATGAATTAAAAATTCCATTATTTACCTTATAAAAACATTTTATCCCATTCCACTTGTAAAAATTCATTATCCATTAGTTTACTATTTACCTCCACTAAAGGAGGTTATGTATTCACCCCTGGGGGGGGGGGAGGGCTCACATGTATACCAACCTTACGGGGCAGGGCTCGCAGAATTGGGTGCCCGACGTCCCGCGGCAACCAAAAATTTACGTCGGGCAACACAAATTTAAAAGGGTAGGTCCCGACGGGCAACCTCTAAAATATCCGAATGTTTTGCAGCGACTGAAATACAGACTATACTCTACACAATTAGTCACATAAGAACGAATGGCCAAGCCACCGAGATTGTGTTCATGTGTGTGTAATAAACTGTGTGAAAATTCGGTAGTATGGAATGCTATCTCTCGATCGTGGCAGACAGCCAAAGATAGAGACGTACGACCGCCAACAACAAAATGCAGCACTACATGTGTTTGTGTACAATCGAGCGTATGGCAACTCGTTGGAATGAGTTTCCCATGCCTGTCTAGAGCTGGCGGCATCCTTTGTACGCAAACCCAACTAGTCTAGCGCAAAAGCAGTTCTCTTGCTTCAACCATGGAGGAGATACCAACTCGTTGTACTGGTTGAAGTAACAGATGTAAACCGAGTTGGGAATTATTAAGCTATGGTGGTAATTCAATAAAATCGGAATTCATTAAATTATTTACATTCATGCTTTTCTTGTGTGTTTTGTTATGTATGAATTTTATAAGCAATTAAATCGATTGGTTGTTTGTAATAAAGAATGCTGAATTATGTTGTCTCCGTTTTTTAATATGATTATAATAATAATAACTGATGTAATAACAGTAATAGTAGTAGCAATAATAACAATAATAATAATAATAATAATAATATACATCAATAAAATACATTAGTAATAATAATAATAACAATAACAACAACAGTAATAATAATAATAAATAATAATGTTCCATAGATTTATAATAATTTTACATTTAATTTGCATTCAATGTTACTTTGGAACACGTTCGAATAATGCATACAATAATAAGTAATAATAATATAAATATGATTAAATAATTTAACTGTACAGTTTACAGTGCAAGGATCACCCGAGGATCATACGGTAGGTATTAATTGTTTATATGATGTACAATATATTATACAGTAGGGCCCTTAGATTTAGCTGCATATGATTCCATTAAATCAGCATATAGCCTACGGACGATAGAAAAGCAAAACCCCGAGTATCAAAAACATTTTAGATTTCCTCCCTGGATGAATAATTTACCAACGATCTACGTAGACTTGAAATCTATGCCTTGATTTAACCTACTGAGCACTGCTCTCAAAGTACACATGCTCCAGCTAACTTGTTTTCTTTGTTACACGCATGCGTAGTACTTCATTCATGCACCAAGCACTGGTCATGATCTCATCACAGTCGTAAGTTGTTGTAAATTGTTACTAACTTTAGGCGTACATTTCAATCATCACACCCCGCTGTAGGCAATAAATCGAAGGTCCATTAGTGTACAGTATTAATTAAGTACTTAAAATAATTATTGAATATTCTATTAATCTGCCTTTGTGGAAATTCCCATCTCAATCCCAATCGTAGGCCTATTAATTTGACACTGACATTAAAATCCGCTTGATGATTGTTTACAATTTGACTGCGGTGTACCGCGAAGAAAACTTCACACTTCTTCTCCAAAACCCTATCTGGATGAAATGAATGCTTATCTTCGAAGATGCCGAAAGTTTTTGTAGGCACCGCTGATACTGCTAAACAGGAGATAAACTCTGCATATTTTCTTGGTCTAGGCCTAGTCACTTTTATTTTGATTTTCATTGCGAATGCTTCACACTACTGTCCTTTCTATGATAACATGAGTTTCTAAAATGTTTTAAGCCGTCGTCAACTTACGATACCGACGATGCTGCTGCTGGGTAAAATAAATATTAAATATTTAATTAATTTGCCTTTGTGGCAAGGCCCATCTCGATCCCGATCGTATAAATTTGACACTGACATTAAACTACACTTGGTGATTGTTTACAATTTTACTTTGCGGTGTACCGCGAAGAAAACTTGTCACACTTCCATACTCCAAAAACCTATCTGCAGAAAATGCTTATCTCTAAATATGCCGAAAGTTTTTGGCTTCATTCTTGGGTCTTAATCCAATGTTGATTCTCCCAGCTACTTTTGTAGAATATATGATACTTTAACTTCACCTGGATTTGCTTTATTTAAATAGTCACTGTGTTTCTCTTTTTTCAATGTTCATATAAGAAATAATCAATAAGTTATTAAAGTACAGTACATTTATACATATGATTTGTTCAGACTTTTTCTTTTGTGTATTTGCAATTCTTTGAGTTAATTGAATAATGTCATAAAATAATTCAAAGTAGGGGGTGGGCAAGTAAAAAATTGTGAGGGCAACCAAATTTGAGATATTGGTTGCCCGAAGGGCAACCTAATATTTCATAATTCTGCGAGCACTGCGGGGGCGTGCAGCAGCCACTCCAAGACATGAGACACTTGTGCAACCTATTTTACTGAAAATTATTATGGGCCTTGAACTACCATTTACCAAAATCCGATGTCAGTTGAACTACTATTACGGCCATGTATAACCTACCAAATTAAACTTGTATACTGTTCTCGATGGAGAATAAGACCACGGTTCTGTCTACTCACGATCAATACTGTTCGTGGCTATGTACCAACGGTAGGTTTAGCATGGAGGTTAGCAGAAAATCTTTGATAGTAACATCATCTGAAAAATTATGAGACTTTGATATGGGACGGGGGCAGGGACTTTAACTACCAAATTTACCTGGTATTTCCCACACTTGTGCTACCAAGTCCTCGCAAATATACCCTATACATGCTGAAACTCTTCCATAAATTTACAGGCTTGTGCTACAATCCCTCAAAAACACCTGTAAATGCGGCACCTACCTGTCTAGAAATATTGAAGAGTGAGCCCCCCGGGTATTCACCACTGTATTCACCACATAATCAAAGAATGACTCCATTCAATTTTCGGAAGAAAAGGTCAAATGACTAGGTGAGGGTCACGGAAATTCAATTTTTACCCTCATGCATAAAAGAAAATAATAGAATCAACCCTCATATTCAGGCTGTACTCAACAAAATGATGTACCTGAATACGACAGGAGATTCCATTATTTTCTTTAGGGTATGCTGTAGCACTCTAAGAAAATAATGTGCCTGAATATGCTGGGCAATTCCATTATTTCCTTGAGGGTGTCCAGCAGTTTTGACCATCCATACACAATCTGTGTGGGAAGTTATGTACTCTATAGAGTGACTCACCTAAACTGCTGCCAGATTTCACCTGCAGTTTTCTTAAACTGCTTTAACCCGACGATATCGATGTAGATGATCTGAAATGGAGCTGAACCTTTCATAGGACAACTTTGTCTCATTTTACCAACTTGCTTCAGAAAACTACAAGACAAAAAGAAATATAAAAAAAAATAACATTAAAACAGGTAAATTAAAAAAAATGGTAAAAGTACATTCATTTTTTGTTACATATTTTCATTGTTTCATTTGGGAATATACTAAACACTTCTGAATTACCTGTGAAAATTTCAGGTGGTTTCGGATATAGCACCAACTATCTTTAAGCACAAAACTTAGAATTTAGTAATTTTCCATGGTAAAACAATGTTAACTAACAGATTTCGCGGCAAAACAACGTATCTACAATGAAGATTAATTAAAAAAATTATTTTCAGCTGTCAATAATTTTAACGACGACGTATGCACAATCTAGATAATGCATATGATTGCCCCAGACGTGATAAATTTGAAAAATATTCGCACTTGCAACAATACCGCGTCTGACATGTTTCTGAGGTAAAACAACGTATCTGCGAATATCGTTAATAACTTTGCAATAAACCACGGGTTGTAATTAAAAGGTTACATATAGTCACAATGTATATGGATATACAGTCATACAAAATTTTAGAAGGGTACAACAATTTATTGCCAAGCTGCAAACATGCAAACTTTAAAACTCTATTTTTCTCGAAAAGCAAAAATTTCATATTACGTTGTTTTACCACGGAACGGCCGCCCTATTTCATTGTATCAGGGATAATCTTTATGGCAGAAAAATTTAGCCATTACAAAAATCCAAAGCTTCAAGAAAGAATCATCCTATTCTAACCCCACATGCATGGGCCCAACACCCAGCCTAGAGTCAGCAGGGCCAGATTAACATACAGTAGGGGCTTTTGTGGCACGAATTCCAGATCCAAGGGCCCCAATGGGAAAAAATAGGCCCCAAAACCCCAGGTAAAATCACTGAAAATCTGGTTTTATGTTTTAGCCACAGAGTATTTAGGCTCACTTGCAATTATAGCCACAGGCCCCACAGTCCTTTAAGCTGGCCCTGACAGTAAGTATGCTTGCTCCACTCACTGGTTTATGCCCCCCCCCCCCACTCAACAAGCTATGTCCACCACTAGTTGGTCTGACAGCAGCAGATTCCAAGAGGTCCTATTAATATGGAAAAAACATTTTACCTCATAATGACAAAATGCTACAATACATTTTACTTGTCCTAGAGTTCTATTGCTATTCCTATTTATAGTGCGAACTTTTCTAACTATGGAACACATAACACTTAAATTCTAAGCAGCTGATATGACAGCACCATAATCTTTCCCATCAAATCTTAATTATGACTGGTACTGTATATACTCATCTGATAAAGACTGTATATTAAAGCTAATCAATATAGGAAATAATATAAAACCTAATGAATATGGATATACTGTAATTCCTAATGGAAATATCATGACTGTATGCACTACTGCAGTGGATTTGTGCGCTTTATAAATCTTATTATTATTTATTATTATTATGACCGCTATCTTCCCTAAATTAATTATGTGTGCAAGACGTGAATTATTGAAAATATTTGAATTAATTCAATTATCAACTACAGTACTTTAAGAATCTACATAAAGAACATAGAAACAGAATTACTAATGCATTTGTTAATTTGCAGGGAAACTAATAGGATATTCGTAGTAAAAAATATCTTTAAATCAGCTAAAAAATAAATTGTTTTGACCTGACGTGTATCATTTGGAAGTTGACATATTATTTGAAAAATCAATGATTCATTTGACCACAAATTTTATTTAATATTTTTACCATCAACCTGTACTGGCCAATAGTTTTGATTTATAATTTTTATTTATATGGTATAATCTTTTTTTTATACGGTTAGAGTCCAAGTTAGAGTGGAAATTGTTTGTACATATACTGTAATTGATTTACTAAAGGAAAATTGAGAATGTTTTCTGAGAAAATTCAAATATGATTATAAAAAAAACAGACATTAAGCCATTAGTGAATTTTCCCCCAAGTTGGTCTGACAGCAGCTGATTCAAAGAGGTACATTAATATGGCAAAAGCATTTCACCTCATGACAAAATGCTATACATGTTACTTGTCCTAGAGTTTTATAGCTGTTCTTATTTATAATGCGGAAGTTTTCTACATAACTTTCCAAAGAATCATATCATTATGGAACACAAAACACTTAAATTCTAAGCAGCTAATAATATAACTGCACAATAATCTTCACATCAAATCTTCAACTCTTTCTTCCATTAAAAGTATAAAAAACACTGCACAATTTGCACATAAATTATGTGATATCTGCTTCATAAACCACAAATCACATTAAAGTAGGCTTAGCAGGAAGCGAAGAAAAAAAACGAACATGAGGCCGGATTTCCCATGGAAAGCAAAAAAAAAACACCTCATTTGAATTTCATCTTAAATCCATGATTGTCTTTGAAATCAGATCAATATTACCAAGAATAAACTATTGGCTTAAATTTCAATTTCACATTACATTGAGAAAATATCTTATGATGAAAATTTTTGTTTCATTTCCGTTACGGTAAACATATACTTCATTATTTCATTAGTATGTGCATTGGCCCAACGCAGCATTGAAATGGAATACTTGAATGTGCTCGAAGCATTAAATAAAACATGGAAACAGGCCAACACCCACACAACACAGCCCTAAGATTTTGATATGAAGTATGATTAGTTTTCGATATCAATGGCTGTATTAAACTGGTCATTCTTCAAAATGGCTGCATAGTTACCATGATACACGCTGTGTAATCAAGGCTGCTTCGGATTGTGTCAGTATGGGTTTTTCGTAAAAAAAAATGTCTTCATCCAGTTTTTGAATTCTGTTAGCCTACAATTATTTTTTAAATTCAATGTGGGTTTTTATTTTCTGAAATTTAATCTAAATTATATTAACACAAACGTTGCTAAACTGACCAATCGGTATTTTTTTTGGTCATGTGCATAACTTAATGCTGATTAACGCATTCTGGTTATGTTCATTTTCGTTGTCAACGAATTCTATTTTATGAACCAGTCAAATGAAAATAATACTCAACAAAAATTCGTACTCAACAAAATGAACCAGTCGAATAAGCCCAATTTCAGGAATTATGTCAAACACATACACAAGATTTTATTTCTGCTCTACCATATTTTGGTGTCTAATGTTTTAAAAATTAAAATTCACCAGCAAGAATTCACATAATAGTGATAAAATATGTATGACTTTTCAGATGAATACATAGGCTAAATATTAAATTCTTTTTAATAAACTAAAACCTACAGAAAGACACTTGATAGTTAATATATTTTATGCAAGTCTAGATTATTTGTTAATATGTATACATGCATATCAACTATTATAAATCTAAACTCTAGGCATTTCTGCAGGCACTGATTATCTATGGGTTGTACATTGTTACTATAAAATAATACTATATCTATATTAGAATATGAATATATTCTAAAAACCTACTCCTACACAAATAGTCATTCATTATATATTCATTTTTTTTTTGGAAATTTTGAATAATATAAATAACAAATCACACACTACTACTATGCTTCTATTTCAAGTGTTAATTTCAACAAGCAGGTGTGCACAAAACAACAAAGATTTCAGGCAATAAAAAAAAACCAAAAAAAAAACACCAACTATGTTTAGTCCAAGCCTGACTGACCGAAAATCTCTAGCATCTATAGTATGGTTGAATAATTTATTGGTAGCCTAGGCCAGTGCTCCAAGTACCCAATCAGTCTCTAGAAATGTTTGTTATGACGTTATTATTGTTTATAAAGCTAGTACGTAGTTAACTATGCATGAATGATATTGGCAACAGTTAAAGAGCTAGAGAAAAAAACAAGTTGGCATGGAAACCAATATAGATAAGAAATGGCACTTCCAAGGACAGGTACCATGCAAGCTGCAGCTGAAGAGGCCAAAATGAAAAAGCTAATAAACGTCGTTGGGCTTTAAAGAATCCATGCCATGCACAAAGAAGGTTCTCAATGAGAAGATGCTTCAGTGGCGGATACAGAAGTGGCACTATCAGACTCGGATTTAAATAAAATTTTTTTAAATTTAATTTTGAAAAATTTAATAAGCCTGGGCCAGCTCTCCCTAGACTGTTGAGGCGACCGAAGTGGGATGGTGTCATTCTGTGCAATTCACGTCACCCCGCTGTAGTTCCGAAGTAAACCAGACACACACACACATACTTTGCAGGTAGTATTGCACAGATCAATTATATATACACAGATACACCATACAGACAGGCCTAAGATACACTAGTCGCAGTGTATAGTTTAATACACACCTGGTAAAAAAAATGTCTAAATCTTGACAAAATTAAACTACGGTAATAATTAAACGTCGGTAATAATTAAACGTCATTGTGTTTTGCAAAACACAACCATTTTTCCCCTTTATTTTGGATGCACTATCACTTAATACTGTAGGACGATATTTTATAGTTTTATCCTCAGAGCTTAAAAAACTGTTCAACGTGATGGGAAGACATTAAACTAACGAGGAATGCCTTCATTATCGACGATTACTCTGCGACATGTACTTAAAGCAAAATGGAGTTGCTAAATGTGAACTTCGTTTTAACTGAAGGTGCGCCTGGGGAAATAACGAATTAGCATTTGAATTTGTGTAACCAGTTTTTGAATAACACAGTCAAGATTAACATAGACAACAATATCATCCACCAATTGTATGAATTCCAATTACTGTAACTGAATGATAGACTTTAAGGGAGAGTTTGAAATTTATTTTTTTTTATATTTAAGGATTTTTTTCTTTTGTTTCACCGCTTTTACTGACAAGGCACAAATGTCAATCACTTTCTTTACTCTCTTTTCCCCCCTCTTTCTTTTTATTCCTTTTTGATAATATATGCATGTTTGAGTGGCATTGTTCTTGTCATCCAATTTCAGAGTCCTTTGTTCAATCAAAACTATTAGAATCATCTATGCTTTATTGTGGTGAGGCACTTACTTGCTTTAAAAAAAAACAAAAAAAAACAAAGGATATAAATATACATTCAGTA